AAATAACATATTAAAACAACATACATAAAAACAATAGGTTAAAATACATATAAGATTAAAATACATATAAAACCATTTGCCAAGTTAAAAACATCATCCAACTCAGTCCACACATTGTGGTCCAATAACTTTAGTCTTTACGGTCTCTGTAAAGTTTTCTCTACATAACTTACTTTCTTAAATATACGAAGACACAGCAATGTAGTGGTTTGAGTATTGGACTAGGATTTGGAAACAATTGTAATTCTATCTGAAACTCTAAGGAAACCAAATGCACAAAGGAAAGGAAATCGTGATGGTCATTTAAGTCTATCTGTTAAAAGAGACAGGTCCTGCATGCAACAATATATTACTCGTATAGTACATGCCTTCATTAGATGTTGGTGTGTTGCTTGATGTTTTGGCTAGAAAACACATTCCAAAACCAGAATTTAGTCTTAACTGGAAAGAGCATTAGAAAGCTATAATGTTCATTTCATCGTTGCCATTTTCTGCATGTACAAAAGACACAAGTAGAAACTTCAAGCTTTCAGATAACAGATGTTGCAGCCCAGCCACCTATGTAACTCCTTTTCACCCAAGATGAAGAGCTAATTAGCTGAAACATGGCTCAGCCAAAAGGAATCAATGAACTAATTGAAAGTGTATTAATTCTATAGCTTGGGTGTGATTCTGGATTCATTGCTGAGCCTGGAACCCCAGGTTTTGGCAGTGACCAGGGGAGCATTTGCACAGTTAAAACTTGTGTGCCAGCTGCGCTCGTACCTTGGGAAGTCTGACTTGACCACAGTAGTCCACGCTCTGGTTACATCCTGTATATACTACTGCAACACACTCTACGTTGGGTCGCCTTTGAAAACTGTCTGGAAGCTTCAACTGGTCCAACGGACGGCAGCCGGGTTGCTAACAGGAACGGCTCTCAGGGAACATATAACACACCCTGTTGCACCAGTTTCACTGGCTGCCAGTTTGCTATCGGGCACAATTCAAAGTGCTGGCTTTGGTGTATAAAGCCTTAAACGGTTCTGGCCCAACTTACTTGTCTGAACACATCTCCCCTTATGAACCATTGAGGACTTTAAGATCAACTGGGGAGGCCCTGCTCTCGGCCCCCCCTTCGTCACAAGTACGTCTGGCGGGGATGAGAGACAGGGCCTTCTTGGTGGTAGCCACGTGGCTATGGAACATCCTCCCTAGGGATATTAGATCGGCTTCTTCCCTGTTAACATTTTGGAAGAAGCTCAAGACATGGCTTTTTGAGCAAGCTTTTGCAAATACAGAGTAGCGGATATAGGACAATGGAACAACTATACGATGGTACTGGACAATGTTTTAATATGGATTTATCAATGACTTATGTTTTATTGCTGTTGTTATGATTTTATGTATGTTAATGTTTTTAAATTGTACTTGTGCTTTGTGGCATTGAATTTTGCCTTGTAAACCACCTCAAGTTGCCTGAGGGCTGAGAGGGGTGGTATACAAGTACAGTAACTAAATAAATAAATATAGAAAAAAATACTAGTTCAAAAATGCATTCCAAGGTAAAGAGTACAAAAAAATATTTCCAAGGTATATGTTAAAGGCAAAAGCAAAAGTATATCCAAAGTATAAGTTTCAAAAGCTGTTTCAAAATATAGGTTACAGTTAGAGTCTTCTTGAGACAGCAATAAACGAAGTCCCACACTGACAGTAAAGCCAAAATCCACAAAACTTAGACCAAGAACTGTATCCAAATGAGATTCCCCAACGCCAAACAGGAAAAACATGACATGAAAGCAAGGCCAGAAGCTCAGATTACAGAGCCCAAGGAAAAGATGACTTTGTTTGGAAAATACAAAGTTGCTTTCACACAAGTAATCCAAGGGGTTCTCTTAAGAAATCGAGACATTTTCTAAGAAATTGAGACACATGGAGACACTTTCTAACACCTGCAATCCCTCTGTTTATCTTTCAAAGCTGAGAAACCCTTAATTGCTTCTGCTTGGCACTATCTCGCTGTAACTGAAGATGCTGAGCAACAATCCAGCATTTCCCACCTACCTCACATCTTTCCCAAGGTCAGGGAGAGCCTCTGGAAGCAGAACCTCTGGCAGCGTTTCATGGAAAATGTCCTCACTAAAAGTAGATTTGTCTGTAAAACCATTTCCATCATCCAGGGAAGAACTATTTTCCCTCTGAGGCACTACAATTCAGGCTCCAATTCAGGAGCACAAGACCACACCAAAAGGGGTGGCTTACATGAGGTCCCCCTCCTTCTCCTCAGACCAGGTCTCAACACCAGAATTGAGAGTCAGAACTGCAAAAGTAGTGTATCAGACCAGTAAGTAAAAGCATGACCAAATAGAAAGAAAGTAGCACAACATATGTCATTCTTTTTTTTTTGTAGAGGAAGTAACATGGAAACCTATGTATATGACTATTGTATAAATAACAAAAATGAGATAAACTAATTTAGGAGTTTTAAAATTCACAATTAGTATTCTTAACTACACCTGTAGGCTTCCTTCACTCACCATGTTTAGTTTCCTGAGCCTATAAATACTAGGTCTGAGCATGGGAGGCCTCATTGCCATTTAACTGAATGGGGATTGGGCTAGATGGCAGGAGATTGGACTGGATGGACCATGCATTCCCTTCCAACTCTGTGATTCTTGAATTCCATGACTGAATTCACTGTGCACATTGCACTGTATGTGGAAGTCTGTAATCAAGCCATAAATAATAATAATAATAATAATAATAATAATAATAATAATAATCTTTATTTATACCCAGCCACCATCTCCCCCAATGGGGACTCGGGGTGGCATACATGAGGCCAAGCCCAAAAACTAAATTACAATAAAATAAAATAAAATACAAGTACAATAAAATAAAATAACAACATTGCAATAAAGTACAAAACATAAGAATGCAATAAACAATATACAAAAAAACATTAAAAAACAGTAAACTGTTGTGATGTGAGTCTTATAAAGAATCAATATTGCAATATAGGAATGAAAAGTGAGTGTCTGGATCAAAATTTCAGATTCATCTTTACCTCTAGGTGGCAGATTTGCTGCTTTGGTATGGAGCCAACCCACTGCTTAAGAATGAGAAAGGGAAGAGTGCTTTAGAAGAATCCACTGACAAGCATATGACGAAACTACTTGAACGCTATAGCGCTAAACATAGAAAAATTTCAGCAACAGGTAGGTAAGGGTTCCCTTATTATCATTTACAAAGCAGGTACAAAAAAGACACATTTATGCACATTCTGTCATGTCTGGGCGTTCAGATATATAATTACATTTGCAAACATTTATTTGGTTTTGAATGAATTAATCAGGAACTGCTGTCATGTGATGTGGCAAGGTACAACTTTTAGCATTTCAATTTTAGTAATGTATTTTTTGAAAGCCAATGTGATGCAGTGGCTTGAGTGTTAGACTACAACTTGAGACAAAGACCATGAAAACCCATTGGGTGACCTTAGGATCACAGAAAAATAGAGTTGGAAGAGACCACGTGGGCCATCCAGTCCAACCTCCTGCCATGCAGGAAAAGCACAAGCAAAGGTACAGTTGCCCTCCAACTTCGGGCAGTCTTCGATGACACACATTTCCTTGATCCATTTCAAACCGGCTTCAGAGCAGGATACAGAGTTAGGACTTCTATGGTCGTCTTAGTGGATGATCTCCATCTCAACACCAAGAAGGGAAGTATTGATAGTGATGTTGTTATTGTTGTTTGTGATATTGCCTTTATTGTAAATTGTTTTTATATGTTGTACACCGCCGTGAGTCGCCCTGGGGCTGAGAACGGCGGTCTACAAGTGCAGTAAAAAAAAAATGTCCCTGTTAATTCTTTTAGACCTCTTAATGGCTTTCAATGCTATCGTCCTTCTGGAATACCTGGAGGGGCTGGGAATCAGAGGCACTTTGTTGCAGTGGTTCCAGTTGTACCTCTCAGGCAGGTTCCAGATGGTGGCACTTGAGGATATCTGCTCCTCAAAAAAAGGAGTTATGTGGTATCCCACAAGGTACCAATCTATCTCCAATACTTTTTTAATATTTACATGAAACGGCTGGGAGAGATCATCCGTAGGCATGTGGCAGGATGTTATCAGTATGCTGATGCCGACCAAATATATTTCTCCATGCCTTCAAAACATCTTCAACTAAGGATAGCATGTCTCCTCTGAATGACTGCCTGGAGGAGGTAATGAGTTGGATGAGAAAAAAGAAATTGAAACTGAATCCAGACAGAGGTGCTTGCCATTAAGGGTCCTAATCTGGGGATGGGATTACACTCCCCCTGAAAGACTGTATTCGCAGCTTGGGAGCGCTTCTGGATCCGTCTCTCCAAATCTCAGCTCAGGTAGATGTAACAGTCAGGAGTGCTTACTATCCGTTTCAGTTGATAACGCCAGCTGCACCCCTTCCTAGATTTAGAGGACTTGAAGATGGTACTGCATGCACTGGTAACCTCAAGATTGGACTTCTGTGACATGCTCTACATTGGACTATCCTTGTACCAAGTTGAGAAAGTCCACCTGGTTCAAAATATGGCAGGCCAGATTGTATACGGGGACATCTAGGAGTGAGCATATTACATCTATCCTAAAGTCACTCCACTTGCTGCCAATTAGTTTCCGAACAAAGTAAAAGGAATTGGTTTTGACCTTTAAAGCCCTACATGGTTTGGGTCCAGGCTACCTACAGGACTGCCTTCTGTACAATCCACCCCACACACTGAAGTCCTATGAGGGGCAGTTACTCCAGTTAGCCAGAACTTGATTGGCCACCATTACCCAAAGGATCTTTTCATCAGCCACCCCAAGACTGTGGAACGACCTGCTGGAAGAGCTCCAACAGCTAGATCCACGATCAGAATTTAGAAATCATCTAAAAACCTATCTCTTCTGGCAGGCCTACCGAGCCAGTTGAAAGCATGAATTTTAAATGCATGTACTGTGTTTTGGTCTCTGTCCTGTGTGACTAATGTGTATTTTATAGAAATGCTTGATATGTATCTTTTATGGAACTTCATTTTAATATGTGTGACATTTATATTGGTGTGTTTTTTACTGTGCTGTGGGGAGAAGCGGGTAAGAAATAATTCTTTTATTAATAATATTAACAATAATTATTATTATTATATGGGAGGGGATCAAAATCAGAACGAGTTCTCACAGGATGATGAACCACACATCCCAAAGAAGCAACTGTAGTCAAAACAAATTAAAAATGTTGCCTTTTATAGAGCTAAGGAAAACTTGTTTCTAATGGAACAAGTGTGTGGGAGTAGTTATTCATTACTTTAGATGAGTGTGTAAGTCGTGTGAATAGAAATTGAAATGGAGGAGTAGTTAAATATCTTAAGACACAGCGAGGACTACATTTGCTCTGGTTGAATTTGCAGAAATTCTCAATTTGAGGATTAGACTTGCCTTGTCTGTGCTTTTTTTTTTTTTTTTTTACTACAGTGTCCATTAAACATAGGTTTGGGTTGCTATGAGTTTTCTTTGGGCTGTATGGCCATGTTCCAGTAGCATTCTCTCCTGATATTTCACCTGCATCTATGGCAGCCATCCTCAAAGGCCCAAAAAACTCACAGCAATCCAGTGATTCTGGTCATGAAAGCTTTCAACAACACCGTGATAGGTTTATTGACACCCTCTCGCAAACCTCCAAGGGGTCCTGACCCCCAAGTTGAGAAACGCTGTCCTAGATCATTCCAAAGGCTTTTTTGCTACTATGCTGCCATCAAAATCCATTCTGAGACTACATAGAGGTAATTGTGGTAACCTGCAAAATATATCTGGGTGGTTCCTTTGCTTTTTTGTTCCGTTAAACATGTTTTTCAAGGCCAAGTGAAAAAATACAGCATTCATTTACTGGCAATACGAATATGCTAAAGCAATACAATGTGAAACTAGGGGGAAAAATAAGAGAAAAGGCAGCACACAAAATAATTCTGTCTGAAAAACACAAAATGGTTGTAAAATATGGAAGGCAACAACATGTGTGCATGTTTTGTTTTAAAGACAAAGCAACCAGATAGGGAAAGATATTTGCCATTTTCTTGGCTACAAGGAGTGAAAAAATTGAAATTACCAAGGAATGAATCTGGTCACACAATGAGCCTTTCTTTTACAAAAGAGCAGTTGGATCCTTGGTGTATGATCAGCATAATTCAGGCAGAACCTGCAAAGCTACAGAAGAGTTCAGCATGCTCATAGGATTAGATATATAGCAAGAGAGTGACTCCAGTGCTGGCAATAATGAAGATTCGCCAAAAAAGGAAGGAGGCTTATCAAAGCTCTGAGTTGGTAGGAACAACAAAAGGTCAAATGACTAATTCCAGTACTGTCACATCCCAGAATTCTGTTAAAGAAGAATCCTAAGTTACTTTCTATAACTTATCTGCTAAATGAACCTAAGATAGAAAGCATGTGCCATGAAATATGGTAACATGCACCCTTTTCTTTAGGTAACCGCTTGCATCTTAAGGATACATGTTTGCAGTTAGGAATCATAGAATCATAGATTCATAGAATCAAAGAGTTGGAAGAGACCTCATGGGCCATCCAGTCCAACCCCCTGCCAAGAAGCAGGAATATTACATTCAAATCACCCCTGACAAATGGCCATCCAGCCTCTGTTTAAAAGCTTCCAAAGAAGGAGCCTCCACCACACTCCGGGGCAGAGAGTTCCACTGCTGAACAGGAAGTTCCTTTACATTTAGAAAAGAAAGCATTAATCCTGCTGGTGAAAACTATAGATCACCAGAACAATGCATCCAGTCTCAGTGCTCTGTGGATAAAATCAACCTAGACTGCCCCAGAGGAACGCTTTTGGAGCATGGTCTGAACCAACCCAAGATGTTATGTCTGAAGGTAAAGGTAAAGATTTCCCCCTGACATTAAGTCCAGTCGTGTCCAACTCTGGGGGTTGGTGCTCATCTCCATTGCTAAGCTGAAGAGCCAGCGTTGTCCGTAGACACCTCCAAGGTCATGTGGCCAGCATGACTTCATGGAGCGCCATTACCTTCCTGCTCCCTATTGATCTACTTACATCATGCTGCTCCCCGGATTTGATCCTGCAACATTTATTCAGAAGAAAGACTACACAATCATTTCATTGGTGTATGGTGCAGCCCCCGGTGGCACAGTGGGTTAAACCCCTGTGCCGACTGGACTGAAGACCGACAGGTCGCAGGTTTGAATCCGGGGAAAGGCAGATGAGCTCCCTCTATCAGCTCCAGCTTCTCATGCGGGGACATGAGAGAAGACTCCCAAAAGGATGATAAAACGTCAATTCATCCGGGCGTCCCCTGGGTAACGTCCTTGCAGACAGCCAATTCTCTCACACCAGAAGCGACTTGCAGTTTCTCAAGTTGCTCCTGACACGACAAAAAAAAATGGTGTATGGAAATGCCCATATTAGTGATTCTGATTATATGATTCTCTCTGATCAGTCAATTTAAATGCAAACCAAAATCCAGATAAAAATACCCGCAAGATTGTTGAAATCTGCAATGAAGAAACAGTTCAAGTTAGTATGGAAATCCCTCAACTTATTCATTTCCTGAGGGCAGTAATAACTTGGATATTAGCCCTGAGACATATACCTTCTGAGTAAGACCATTCACTCCTGTGCATGAGAATATAACTGTAGAGCCATATGTAGAAGGAAATGTGAGAAGATATTCCCCCGAGAGAACAAAAAATAGTAATATGAAGGAGAGTAACACATTCCTGATTTCATAGGTACAGGTTAAAGAACCATTGCAACATAAACACAGAGGGACTACTACATTCTTACATAGTAATATTCATTGATGTTTCATTATATTTTATCTAGTACATGATAGCTATCTGTTTCTGTGTGTGGAATTGTATAAACAGGTCCCATCTGTGTTCGTAATTCCCTACTTAACTCAGAATATTAATGCAAAGGCTGGTTCTGTTCATATAATATAACCTGGTACACATATGATTTTGAACCATTTTATTTATTTATTTATTTACTTTATTTGTATACCGCCCCTCTCAGCCCGAAGGTGACTCGAGGGGGTTTGAATTTTTCTTTAAATTCAAATTTAATTTTTTTCCCCCAGAAATCCTGGAAGAATTAAACCTACAGATCCTGGATCAGCCATTCACAAATCTACATTGTGGGCCTCCTTCCAGTATGATATAGGAGCAAAACATTAATATTCCTGTGTTATATGCATTCATTATTAAATTGCACAAATGATATGTATGCTGTATTGTCAAAGGCTTTCATGGCCAGAATCACTAGGTTGTTGTGTGTTTTCCAGGCTGTATGGCCATGTTCCAGAAGCATTCTCTCCTGATGTTTTGCCTGCATCTATGGCAGGCATCCTCAGAGTTGGTGAAGTCTGTTGGAAACTAGAAAAAATGGGTTTATATATCTGTGGAATCATAACAGTAAATAAAGAACAACACTCAAAAACACGGGAATTCCAGGCAAGAAAAAATCAGGGCCAATTAATAAACCTCCCAACTAATTTCTGCTGCACTGAAGACTAGGACGCTGAACAATGGCTTCAAACTACAAGAAAGGAGATTCTATCTGAACATTAGGAAGAACTCCCTGACTGTGAGAGCTTTTCTGCAGTGGAACTCTCTGCTCTGGAGTGCGGTGGAGGCTCCTTCTTTGGAGGCTTTTAAACAGAGGCTGGATGGCCATCTGTTGGGGGTGCTTTGAATGCGATTTTCCTGCTTGGCAGGGGATTGGACTGGGTGTCCCTTGAGGTCTCTTCCAACTCTATGATTCTATTATTCCCCCAGGCCATTAAATGCTAATCAAGGTGGCCAATTGCTACATTCACACCTACCTAAACAGACAAGAGTTCATTCTCCCACCCTGGACATTCCACAGATATATAAATCCCATTTTCCTAGTTTCCAACAGACCTCACAACCTCTGAGGACGCCTGCCATAGATGCAGGCGAAACATCAGGAGAGAATACTTCTGGAACATGGCCATACAACCTGGAAAACACACAACAACCTGATAAGTATGGTGTTTCCCCCTTTCACAAACCATATGTGCTCAGTTTATCTGAAACTTTGTTTTAATTGAAAACAAATACAATATATTGTGACTAGATGTATGGAATGTTAATGCATATTGAAACATGGTTACAACATCTACCCTTGAAAGAAAGGAATAAAAGTGTCAACTGATTTTCAAAGTAATTTACCTTTAATATACCATATGGTAATTTCCATTTAGTTTAGAAAACCAAGAAGGCAAAATGGTTGTCTGCTGAGACACTGGAAGTAGCCCAAGAAAGGAGGAAAGCAAAAGGAAACAGGGATAAGGGGAGATATGCCCAGTTAAATGCGCAATTCCAGAGGTTAGCCAGAAGAGATAAGGAACTATTTTTAAATAAGCAATGCATGGAAGTGGAAGAAGACAACAGAATAGGAAGGACAAGAGACCTCTTCCAGAAAATTAGAAACATTGGAGGTAAATTTCAGGCAAAAATTGGTATGATAAGAAACAAAGATGGCAGGGTACATGGTATTCCCTGTAGTAACCTACGGATGTGAGAGCTGGACC